CAAAAGCAAATAAGCAAAAAACTGTAAGGACAGATTTCTATTGTTTAAACCACTCAGTTTGTAGCATTTTGTTATTGCAGCCAGAGTTGAGTAATATTAAAAAATATCCAAATTTGCTCTCATATGACCTCTAACTCATAATCGTTTAGGTGTTAATTAGCATTTATTTAGTTGTAATTTACATCACATGGGCTTCTACTCATACCTCTTTCTTCATGATAGTTCTATACCTGTCAGGGATCAGCTTCTCTGATTGTTGCTCTATCATAGCTTTAGATACTTTTATTTTCTTTTCAGTGATTGTTTAAAATTCAGAATCTGGTAAAATAGTGGTAAAATGAGGCTCTCTGAGAAGAGAGAGACCTCTATGTTCATGTCCAGAGACCTCCCTAAGAAAGCCAGGAATGCTCTTGCCTATGATCGAGGGCTAGCTAAGGCTGGATCACCATGTTGGGACTCTTGACAGTGTTGGCTCTTTCTCTGTCTCACATGGTTTCAACTTTTCATGGTACAGTACAATAAAATATTCTGAGATAATGAGGAAGAGAATCCAAATTCACATTACTTTTATTGGGGTATATGTTTATATTTTACCCATTTTATTATTAGATATTGTTTTTACCCTTACTATGCCTAATTTTTACATTAACCTTTATCATAAGTGTGTATGTATCAGGGAAAACACACTATATGTAAGGTTTGGTACCATTTCCAATTCTAAGCATTCACTGAGGACTGTGAAATAAATTCCTTGTGGATAAGGGGGGGAGGGATACTGGATATAAAGAAAATTTCAATGTTGATGTAACTAAAACATGCACTAATTTGCTGCCAATCAGGACAGTGTTATGTGGGAATTAAAGTAATTCAATACTTATTTTCTCTAGCATGTTCTTCACTCTGTCTCCTGTTGCTTATAAAGGAATGTTTTCCCTGTGAGTAACATTCTCTCTGTACTTCAACATTTAGAGTGGTTATATTGTCATGCCCCTATTCTAGTAATAAGAATGAATTCTAGGCTGATTGCTATATACAAAACTATCCCCGTTTCTGTCCAAGGGCTTAACTATATTATTTCGTTCTTGCACATTAAGCGTGCCCCCAGCCACAACCTCCTACTTCTACCTCCTGGGCATTAATATTTAATAATGTCAGGAACAACTACTGAGTATCCAAGCTTTAGGAAAGGTCGTCCTTGGAGATTTACATGTGCCAGGCAATTAAATGAAGCTTCTTAATGAAAGGAGTATGAAAATTTTTTCCACATAAATTTAATAAATATCATGAAGAACCCACCCACCCAAACAAGCTGATATAATACACAGAAAATGTGTATTCTGAAAAATAAAAAATCTGTGCACGGATTTTAATTTTACTGAACACAGATTTTAATTTTTTTTATAAAAATAAACTCATACTGGGAACCAGCAGTTAGCGTAATGGCTATGTCGCTGGACTCCCATGTAGTGGACCATGGTTCGCGTCCTGGACCCGGTGGCTTAAAACTCACGCCGGGCGCGTGTGCGTGCGTGCCCAAGATCCCGAGAGGAGAATGGAGGAGAAGGGATTGCGGCGTGACCATCCCCCCTGGGGGGGGGTGATTTCTCACATTCTGTCTCTCTCTCGCTCTCTGTCTGTCTGGCGAGCGCACGTGCCCTATAGCGAAAATCTCTCAAAAATAAATAAATAAATAAATAAACTCATACTTTAATTTTATTTTTGTACAAATTTTTAGAAGTCCTTGGACCAGTAGATGACATAATGGTTATGTTGCTAGACTCCCACAAAGTATACTGTGGTTCAATCCCAGACCCAACAGCTTGAAATTCACACTGGGCACGTGTGCACATGTGCCCAAAATCCAGTGAGGAAACTGGAGGAGAAGGGATTGCAGTGGTGACCATCCCTGGGGGATGATTTCTCACTTTCTCTGTCTCTTTGGCGTGCTCATGCGCCCTATAGGAAAAACCTTTCTCAAAGAAAAACAAAAAAACAAACAACAAAAACAAACTTTAGAAGTCCTTGTTTCATTAGAGTCTGTTCTTTCCCTCCCTAAAGCAGAGTTAAACTGTACTATAATTGAGTGGGCAATTAATTTTTGTTTTGTTTGCTTTTGCCAAAGGGTACATGTACTCATCAGAGAGAGACCGAGGGGGGTAAAGTAAAAATCACCACCCCCACCCTTGGGAGGATAGCCATGCCACAGTTCCTTCTCTGCTCTCTTCTCATGATTTTGAGCACTCATGCTCATATGCCCAGAGTGATTTTCAAAGCACCAGGTCTGGGACTTTAACCAAGAATGGCCAGGAGGAAGTCCAGCACCTTAACCACCACACCTCCTGCTAGCTCTTGGACAATTGTTTTTAATGCTTCACACAAAACTGGAGAAATATGCTCATATCTAATTATTCTTGGTATCTAGTGATCCTTTTGAGTAGTGTAAAGTGGTATCGTATGACTAATATCATCTGTTTCTATGCATTAAGGGAGTATTTTCAAGTTACTCATTTAAATATTGGAGCTTTAAAATGATAAAAAAAATTAATACTACTTTTGGAAGAAAATATTTGTTCAGCATACTTAAGAGAGGTTTGAAATAGCATTAATAAAAATGAAAATGTAAAAGGGAAACACTTCTTACCCAACTTTGTATTTCCAAATGTACATTTAGTATGAGCTTGGTAAAAGTTTATTAAACTTGTTACTAAATATTTCTTGTTTCTTTATTTCCTATTTGTTATTAAATGCTCTCCTTTTAATGTATCCACAGTTTAGAGCAAGTTACAGCTTTTCAACTGCAAGATTTAGAATTCTAGAGTTGAGGCAGTATTTATATTTTTAGATTTTGCCTAATTGATACACATATGATAAAGTCATAGCAAAAATCTACGTCAGGATTCTGGGAGAGAAAAATCAATGCTGGAGAGAAGAATTTATTTTTGATAAACTCCTTATGTCTACAGTATTTATGAAAAGTAGTTTTTGATGAATCCTAAATACATGTACCAGTGCTTTATAGAAATAAACATTTGTCAAATTATGATTAATGACTGTGTAAATATTGATGATGATAATCATCATGCTGATAATGATGGATAATACCTGTCATCACTCTTGAGTTCTTAGTGATGCTTCCTCTCCTTTTCTTCTAGAAGTTTCCTTTCCTGACAGGCTGCTGTAATAGATTTTTCATCTGTTAATATAGCTAGAATTTCCCAAAACATCTTAAACAAAAATGTTCGGCATTGAAAATCTACACAATATCATTTATTAATCTTGTCATCATCCTAACATATTATTTAAAAAAAAACACACACACACACACAAAAAGGGAAAGGTGAAGGAATAATTCATTCTCTTAGTTTTTGCAGAAAATTGTTTATTATTATTATTTTAGAGAGATGTTTGCTGTAAGGAGTGTGCACTCAATGGAGACACAGAGAGAGACAGGAAAAGAGAAGTGAGAAAAACACCCCAGGGGGGATGACCAAGTGCAATCTCTTCTTCTCCATTACCTTCTCAAGATTTGAGGCATGCATGTGCATCCACCCAGCACGAGTTTCATAGTGTGATCAACCGCGTGGAAGTCCAACACATCAACCACTACACCGTCTGCTGGCCGCAGATTTTGCAGTAAATTGTTAAGACTTGGTTGTTCCCAATTTATACTGCCTTCAAAGATAAAAATAAGTGAGTAATTCAACAGAAAAGGGCACCCTGCTACCTGTGAACAGAGTAGTTACTTTGCATGCCTCCAAGAGATGAAGAGCATTCTGCTCACTGTGTAACTTTGGATCGTTTTTTGCTCAGTAGAGATTTTTTTATCTCACCATCAGCAATATATTCTAACTTACTTGGGGACCAGCAGATGGTATAAAGGTTTTGCCACTGGACTCCCACATTTTCAACCCCAGTTTGAGTCTCAGACCTGGCAGCTTAAAACTCACACTGGGCATGTGTGCATGAGGATCTAAAATCCCAAGAGAAGAATGGAGGAGAAGGAATTATGGTGTGTCCATCCTTCTGGGGGAGTGAATTCTTGTTTTCTCTTTCTCTCTGGCACGTGTATGTGCGTGCCCTATTGCAAAAATCTCTCTTAAAAAAAAGAAAAAATATATATCTAACTTACTTTATATGAGATTTTATAGTTTTTGTTTTCATTGGTTCTTAATTGATAACATTGAATAAGACATTAGGAAAATATACTTAAAAATTTCTGAGAGACTGACATTAAATATAATATAGAATATATATATACACATTCACTAGAATATATGTATATTATATATATATATAATAGAAAACACACACTCTATTTTATTTATATATATATACATATACAGAAAAAAGCTCCTTTCAACCACTCTTACTACATAAAAATTGCAAGCAGGTGTCAGAAAATTAGTGAAGCTACAAATAATTTGTGTTGTCTACAGCATTTTCATATATTAATGAACCTTGAGATTAATTCAGTCTCTAGGCCACCAGGTGATCTGGTAGCTACAGTAGCAATTACTTATAATTCCTAAATTTCTCAAATATTTTGTTCTAATTAAAGACACCCTTATGCTTGTTTGTAGATGTTTTGTAAATTGCAATTGCAAATTACTTATCATCCTCTGAACTTCAGTAAACATCTGAAACCTTTCATTTCTTTACTGCTATCCTAATGATGAAATTAAACATTGATAGTAGCCAGATGAGCCAACGTAAAGGTGTTCATGTCTCCTTCGGTTTACAAATCAATAAAGATGACTTTCAGTTCAATGATTTACCTACTGGAAATGGACACAGCTTTTAAAATAAATGTCCTTTGTAGTAACCTTATATTGTTGCCCCACGTTTTGGTTATAACAGCTCAATTATCCTCAGTGACATCATACACTAAGCCTTCCTTAGACATGCTAAATTCCAAAGGAAAATGAAGCCCAGCTGCTAATAGGCATGACCTTGAACTCTGTAGAAGAAACACACTACAGTTGCATCGTTTTATTTTCCAGGTGCATATGTGCTCCAGGTCAAGGCCACGGATGCAGACGACCCAACCTATGGAAACAGCGCCAGAGTTGTTTACAGCATACTTCAGGGACAACCGTATTTCTCTATTGATCCCAAGACAGGTAAATTTTTTATTAGAGAAAACATTATCACCACCCCTTCAAATATTTAAACGTTAATTAAACCTTGGCATGGGAAGTGGCCTATCCTATTATAGCAATAAAGATTCAGTGTGCTGTGCATTAAGCAAGAAGATAAGCTTGTACCTGCTGCTGGAGTACTAGTTCCCTTTAATTGACCTTTGGTTCAATATAATCCTTTCATATATATTTGTAAAATCCAGATTTATTACTTAGAGATTCTCTCTTTGTCTTAGTTTAAATTGTCAAAGAGCCATTCTTTTTTTAGTAAGTATTTTATTTAAATTTACTTATTGTTATTATTATTTTCCAGTTTGATCAGCCAGAGAGAGGGAAAAAGAGAGAGAGAAAGTGAGAAAGCAAGCCACCAGGTTCAGGACTTGAATCATGGTTGACCATGTGGGAGTGTCCAGTGCCTTATCAACATGCCACCTGCTGGTCCCCAAAGAGCCATTCTTTTGACTAAAGTAAATTTATATTATTTTCTCCCCCTAATCACCATAGAGTATGTGCATTGCCAAGGAGAGAAAAAAAAATCTTCAGTGGGTCATGGTCATGCCAGAATCCTCTTGTGTCCTTTTCAGCGTTCCATTAGGAATTAGGGCATGCATGAATACATGCCTGGCATGTTTTCCAAGCTGCAGGTGCCAGGAATCAAACTGTGCTCAGTTATGCGGGACACAGCTCCTTGTGTACAGCGTTTCACCACTGTGCTACAAGACAAGTCTTCATATCAGTTTTTATTGCAAGTTTCCTTCAGTATTAAATTTGGGATCACGAATACTTGGTAAGATCTTGGAACTTCTTTCCTCTTTACAGGAGTTGTGAGTTGTTGGTTTAGGTTAGCGTAGACATACACTAGCAATAGGAGAAAGACTTGTTAAACTTGAAACACCAATAAATTCATTCTGTTGGCTTATGTCTTTGAAGTCAGTTCCATTTCTGATTTAAAAAAATACTTGCAGAGGACAGACATTTGGCATATATTGAGTGAGACCATATAAAGTGTACCTCTCATAGTCTGACTTGCTTCACTTTCAAAACTAAATATGATATGGGCAGCATATATATGGCAAGAGAATACATACATGGAAGATTTTTACATTCCCTTTTAAATAAAATGGTGTCCCTGTTTGCAGACAATCTGATTTTGAATGTTGACTACTTTGCTAAGGAGAGTGAGCTGCTTAGTCCAGTCATCACGTCACGGTTCACACAGAAACTCTACAATTACAGTTATTTCCATCAACATTATTACAGTCCTTTATATTTCAAATAAAATTTAACACTATTTAGCATATTAAAACTAATAGAAACATTTTCAAACAAACTGGATATAACGTTTTAAACCTGCAAATTTTAATCTCTAAAGACCGTCATCATTTGAAAAGTATACATTTGAGACACCACACTTAAATGGAGTAAACATTTCAAAATGTTTACTTCATAAAAGGCAAGTGCTAAAATCTACTGTAACACGCCAGTTAGACACAGATTAAATAATAATTAAGCACGTTTAACGTTGCCTCAAAACTTAGTCTACTGTTTCTCACTCAAGTGGAAATGCAGAATCCACAAACTTTTCTGCTAACTGAAACTGCCATTTTCTCATCATTTCTTACCCTCCTCATCAGGCCAATAGAAGGAATAGAAATCATGGCAGTGTTAAAAAAGCTAGTCAGGGAGTTGCTCCCTTAGGTAAATCTAAAAAAGAATAAAATGTAGTAGGACAACATCAGTCCTTTAAGGGAGTGTCAATGGTAGCAGGAATTCAGGAGTTTAGGACAAAGAAGATTCTTCTGTTTAGGAAGAGTATTGGAGTTAAAAGCCAGCATGCCAGATGTTAAGAGTGAGTATATGACAAAGAAATTACACTACGATGCAAGTGATTGTTCAACATACATGGCAGAAAGGATAAGAAGTGATTTGCCAATAAAATTAATAAGGAAGTTTGTGGTGGTTATTGTCTAACTATGGGAAATATCACATATATTTTTAGAAAAAGGGAAAAATTAAAAAGAAGTTACAGAAATTTTTCCATATAGTTTTGAATGGCATGAAGTTCCAGAGGAGTTAAGACAATTTTAACAATAGGTAGAAAACATAGAAACATAAGGAATGGAAATTATCTAAACTATTTCTATTATCAGAGTAGAGTTACTATATGTTATTTTTACATGTATTTTTACATATCTTTTTCTAATTCACCAAAATGGGTCATCTAGTTAGAAATGGAAATATGAACAACGCATGTCTTTATAATTCCTTCAACCACTTAAGAGCACTCTTCAGAGACAGAAAGGCTGGAAAAAACATTTAAAAAGGTGTTTAGAAATTGGTGAAGGTGTATTGAGACTGGCCAGTATTAGAGTTCACTTACTGAATTGCAATGGTGAACTCTACAAAGTAGGTAAGTTGACATACTCATAATAAGACTGACAGAGAAAAGGCTAGAGATTTAATGCTGGTAAAACAATAGAAGGTAAAGTCAATATCTAACAAAAAAAAAAGGCAAGATAAAATGATACAAAGATGTATTTAGGCAAAAAGCATGGGGTGAAAATATACTTGTGAGAGTCAAATTAATACCAGACAGGCAACACAAATCACAAATTGTCCCCCTGACTTGACTTGGTCAATATCAACTTGAGGTGAATTCTAATGTTTTTAAAAAGCATTATTTTTCCTTAGAGTATATGTATACAAAATATGGCTCTTATAATTTGTTATTTATATCTTCACATAATGCTTATTATTTAGAACTAAAGGTGAAACAGTTCTGGCATAAACTATATAATAGATTTTTAAGGCATTGATTTTTCACTGGAGACAGAAGTCTTGGTACTAACAATGCCTCAGACCACTAGGCAGGAAGAGTGGATGATGGGCACTTCATTAGTAGAATGAAAACTAGTTCTTCATGCACAGAAACCATTAAGAAGACTTTTTGTCAAATTTATCACCTTGTGGTAGATAAGAGTAAATCAAAAATCAAGGATAATTGCAATTTCTCAGAAATAGACTCCATTTGTTCCAGCTATATAGCTTCCCTTTATGATTCCTTTTACTGTTATTAAATAAAATGCATGAAAAACTAATATTATCTAGAATTTTCCACATTTGAGTGTAGGAAACAGTTCAAAACAATTCTTAGAAGAAGAATCTCATCAAAACTTCTGAAGCTTAAATATTTATAAAGAGATAAATATATCCACTTATTATTCACTCGAAATGAGAAAATGAAGAATCTTTCTGGTTGCTATTGCTGTTTGACAAACATTTCTAGCATCTCTCTTTAAGTGCATGTGACAGGTTTATTTCTAAACAATATAAGCTGTTATATCTTGTAAATGATCAGAAAAATAATACTTCTCTTAAAAAGTGGCTCATCTAATAATTTTTTGGCTTAACTACAAAATAATTTACTTTGAACTCAAATGCAGAAACACTTATGCATATGCCACAAGTGATTATTACATGATATTTAAAATTCCCCCAAATGCAGAGAAGTCTACAAAACATTAAACAACCATGCTTATTATATTTAATGTTTTTAAAACACTGAGACACATTATTATACTAATATTGTATCATTTTATTATATAAATTATTTTTAACATTTAATATTAGAAATGTTTATAAAATGTTAAACATGGTTTTTTAACATTAAACAAGAGAAAATGCTATAATATATAATCCACTACATGAAATCAGAAAGCTAAACATCTCCCTATCTTAAATAATAGTATTAGTTTATTTAAGAAACAAATATTACTATAAATAATTGACTCCTGCGCCAGTAGGTTGTATGGAGATTTAGGAGACTGGATCCCACATGGGTGACTTGTCAGTTTGAGCCCAGATGGTGGCTTGAAAATTACAGGCAGTATGTGTGCATGTATGCCCAAAATCCTGAGAGGAGGATGGAGAAGGGATTGCAGCATGGCCATCCCTCTTCAGGATGATTTTTCTCTCTCTCTCTCTTTCTCATTCTCTCTCTCTCTCCAGAAAGCATACATGCCCTATAGCAAACTAAAAAAACAATAATAGATTCCTACATTTTAATTTATGTTTAAAATTATTTTAATGCATTTCAATGTTTTCCTACATGATTCCAAATAACTAGTTTGAACTAGGTAACTAGACATTGTTATATATCCTGTGATAATGATATATTTTTCTAAATGATCTGAGCCCTGCTTGAAAAAGTATTATGATTTTATATCATCTCACTATTTTTCATAATCTATTCTATTTAACTTTTTATATAGTGAAAAAGAAATAAGCACAATATAAAAATGACCACTTGGATCATATAATTCAGCACCCATAAGTACATTTTACATTGTATAAACATCACCACCACTGATTTTTATCAATATCTTTTCATTTATGTTCATTTCCAATAATGTGCCCTTTCTAAAGTCTTACTTTATGTATTATGACATATATTTATAGAATTTATCTGAAAACAACTGAGAGTGAAGTTGCTACTTTTCTTCTTTTTTACTTACCTTTCTGATATTTCATACTGTGGACTCCTGTGCAGGGAACCCCAGAAATGTTACCTAGATGACTAACATTTTATTTTTGTTTGTTTGTTTAGAGAGATTTTTGCTGTAGGGCACTTGCACTAACCAGAGAAGAGGAGGATGGAGAAGGGATTGCAGCATGGCCATCCCTCTTCAGGATGATTTTTCTCTCTCTCTCTCTTTCTCATTCTCTCTCTCTCTCCAGAAAGCATACATGCCCTATAGCAAACTAAAAAAACAATAATAGATTCCTACATTTTAATTTATGTTTAAAATTATTTTAATGCATTTCAATGTTTTCCTACATGATTCCAAATAACTAGTTTGAACTAGGTAACTAGACATTGTTATATATCCTGTGATAATGATATATTTTTCTAAATGATCTGAGCCCTGCTTGAAAAAGTATTATGATTTTATATCATCTCACTATTTTTCATAATCTATTCT